TTTACCATGGCTTATATTGAAGGATTGAAACAATTTTGGTCTATTTGATAAAGGTAATTCCTATTGTAATCAACATTGTGGCATAACAGTAAACAAAGTAATGACTCATATATTGCAAAAGTATAAAAATCTCTACTGTTCATAATTATAGCACAAGCTAGCTTTTTCACTTATTACAGGAGCTATAGCTGTCTCAGGATATTATTCCACTTCAGTATGGCCACATCATATCATTGATTTAAACTGTACTGGAACTGAGGCTGAAATTTTGAACTGTTCATATAATGGAGGACATCACACTTGCCTTACCAATAATGATGCATCGGTTGTGTGCCAAAGTAAGCATCCTATTTTGATTCAGTGCACTATATTGTCATAATATTATAGGTGTTGATATCCGAAAAGACGATTGTGTTGATGGCAATATAAGACTGGCAGGTGGCCAAACAGAGTATGAAGGACGAGTTGAAATATGTATTAAGAAAGTATGGGGGACTATCTGCGGTTATGGTAGAAGGGGGTGGTGGAGCACACCAGATAGTAACGTAGTGTGTACACAATTGGGTCACATGGAACTAGGTATGAATAGCAATTAACAGAGCTAATATAGAGTTAATGAGTGTCTAACAGTTATGAGCCAAAACTGCCATTATGTTCTAATATTTTGTTGTTCAAAAGTTTGCTAAATAATTGTTATGTCTACACGCGGTGTTATTATGGAATAATAATAATTAGTTTGTCATAATGAAAATGCCAAAATTTATACACAGCAACAATTGGGGGTTATATGGTATGTTGCGCAATGCATAATTGAATCTACTAAATGTATGTTTTTCCACTTTTTGTGTGTATTTGTATGTTTTTATACATTTGTAATTTTGTATATCTTGAACTTAGTACTTGTACCTACTAGCAGTTGTTGTTTTAATGCATATCACAAAAAGCTGATTTTTTAAACTAGTACATATACATTTAAGTATAATTCTTTGTAGTTTCATTGATGATGATACAAGCATGTATTTATATTTACCCTTGCCACGCATAGGTGCATAGACAAGGTATACTAGCCACAATTTTCATCAATCATCAAAAAATAAATCTATTGCTTGTTTGGCAAGGGTATGCACTTTAAGTGCTTTTCATTATTAATCATTTTAAAAATGTATGGGATTATTCCACAAAATTGCACACTGGTATGCACATTACCAGTAATTGCAGTACCCATCATTATACACGTAGTTCTCCAAAACCATTTCATCATGCCCTTAAACAAATTTAACTTGATTATGTGACTAGACTAGAGTAGTAGTAGGAATGTGTTTTCCACAACATAGTAAAGTTGAAATAATTTCATTGTTTTATGAAGGACAAAGCTATCCCATGTACTTAAAATATGGCAAGTTACCAAGAGTATGATTGTACTCAATGCTTAGACTACATAGGTCCCTAGACACTACTGCTTTTAAAAAAATACTTCTTACAAGTTTACGAATTTTGTCCTTTTTAAAAATTATTTTCACTACTCATATAGGTTCAACAGCATATTATACAGCTAGTCAGTTTCGTCAGGGCACTGGTCCCATTTTTTTATCAGAAGTTGATTGCCAAGGAAATGAACAAAACCTCCTGACCTGTCCATATAGACTGATTCACTCAACATCTTGTACTCATTATTATGATGTTGGAGTCAAATGTGAAGGTACATGTATTGCATATGTCAGTTAGATTTTATGATGTGCATAGTTTTTATATCATATTAGCTAAAATCATACAGAATTTATGCATGTGTAAGGCAGTTTGTATCCATTAACTTTTCAAAATATTGGCATAAATTTCATTTTTTATAATTAGCAAAAAGTAGCGAAATTTTATCATGTGTCAAATGTGCTAAGCAGAAATTTTTAATTTTTAAAATTTTGGGTCAGTTCTATATTGGCATTATTTTCTTTTACCTTTGCATTGCCTGTGTGGACTATAGACATTCATTTTATACTACACTTGTTTTTATAATAGCTCCATGTGTCAATGGTACGGTTCGTTTGTACAGTGAATCAGGTAGTTACTTCAGAAGATATGGACGAGTTCAAGTGTGCATCAACAATGCTTGGGGAACAGTTTGTGATCACTTTTGGGATGAACAGGATGCTAGTGTTGTCTGTAAAATGTTAGGGTATTCATCCTATGGTAAGTCTTGTTAAAATAAAAATCCATTATCTGACTGATCTCAATAAAAGTGACTAAATAAAGTTAATTATTACATCATGTAATAATTAACTTTATTTAGTCACTTTTATTGTGAACTAAGGTGTCAGAGTTTATTATTTATTTTGTAATATTTTCATATCATTATTTTTATTATTATTTTGTAGGAGCTTCAACCCTCACAGATACTTTCACTAGAGGTGTTTGGTATGTACATATTAAAGATCTCAACTGTACTGGTGATGAATCATCTATTTTGGATTGTCCAATGAATGATCTTAGTAGTTATTTTTGTGGCAATTATGATGATGCTGCTGTTATCTGTCAATGTGAGACAGATTAGTCAAATATAATTTTGTTTACTTTTCTTTCCTTTCAGTGCCAAATGTAATCAATTCAAATTGCACAACTAATGAATTGAGACTAACTGGTGGAGCAAATCAATATGAAGGAAGAGTAGAGTATTGTGTTAATGGAGTATGGCAATCTTTTTGTGACTATTCTTGGGATGAAAGTGATGCATACACTGTATGCAAGCAGCTAGGATATAAAGGTGTAGTAATTTTTTAATTATTTTGTTCTTTCATATTGTTTCTTGCATTATAGGAGGTAGACATGTGTTTAATTCACATTTTGGAATTGGAGTGACACCAGTCAGTATTTATTATTTATCATGTCAGTACAACTTAGCAAACCTCTCACAATGTACCTGGAATATTCTCCCATCCAATTCTTATTGTAACAATTATCAAGAAGCTGGTGTTATTTGTGAAGGTAATATAAAACAAGAATAAAACTTATTCTATTCACTATTGATAAAACATAGCTCTACATGTACATGTATGTACTGATGGATCAATCGACTTGTTTGGCACTTCACTTGTTAATGTTGGCAGTGTGCGTGTTTGCATTAATGGCTCGTGGAGTCAAGTGTGTGTTGCTGATAGTACATTACTGGACAATGAGCTTGCTAGTATTGCCTGCTATAGTGCTGGCTTCTCTAAATATGGTAAATGTTATTAAAAATTATGTGTACGGCATTAAAATATTGACTTAGTTTTAGGTTGAAAAGATATTGATCATGCTGATATTTTAATTACCAATTTTTTAGGTGCTAATAGTTTTCGAGGACAATGGTTTAATAGAAAGTATCCATTTAAATTTTACAATATAAAATGTTATGGCAATGAGAGTAACCTTCATGAATGTGACTATGATACTCAGGGAGTATGCTCCATATATCATACACTTGGAGTGTCTTGTCAACAAGGTTATTGCTAGCTTTGTGTGCTATTTAGTGACTAATGTTATTTTTTCAATTAATAGGCTTTATTACCTCCCCAGCCAATTGTACTGATGGTGATATTAAACTTCTTAATGAAGTCAGTGACAATCATGGAATAGTATTGATTTGTAAGAATGGAGCTTGGACAAGAGTTTGTACAGACAACAAATATTATTGGTCTATTAGCAACACTGATGTTGTATGTCGTCAGCTTGGTTACACAGTATATGGTACTTATTATAGAATGTTATATATAATCTCATTAATCACTAGGAAACACAAATAGACAAGTGTCTTATCAACAAGCCTACCCTACAGCTTTCTTTAGATTCAACTGTAGAGGTAGTGAAACCAATTTCAGTTCTTGTAGCTCCTATTTGTATTTTTCAATGCCGCAATATTGCCATCGAACCATTGAAATTACATGTGCTGGTTAGTAATAATGTACATGTATACTAGATACAATTAATTTTTTAATGTGAATATTATTTTCAATCAAAATATTGAATAGAGCCTTGTACTACTGGTGATACTCAACTGATTGGAAGTCATTATTATGGACGCGTTGAAGTATGTCTTGGAGGAGTGTGGGGCACTATTTGTAGAGACAGTTTTTGGGACAATACTGATGCAAGTGTGGTATGCAAGCAGCTTGGATTCTCTCCTTATGGTAAATTTAAAACAGTCATTACTGTATGCTCTATTATTGTTAATGTTGATAAATACTGGCTTTTTGCAAGTGTAAATATTACTTTTACATCTGATAAAACTATAGTTTATGAATGTAATATAAACAAAATGAGTTCACTTTATGAATATATAGTTATAGTCATGCTTTATTTTAGCACTGATCCTAAAGTATGAAAATATTTCCTTTCTAAAGGTGCCATTGCTGTGCCTATTAATTGGTATTCCATCTCAACTAAGTTTAATTTTGCTGGTGGAGTAAGCTGCTCTGGAAATGAGACACAAATTTTTAAATGTCCTTTTAACAGTTCATTATCCTGTCCTCCTAGTAATGATGCTAATGTCATTTGTCCTGGTAAGATATGTATTATGCTGTGATTGCTGTTTCACTTTAACTTTCAGTTCACAGCTCTACCTATTCAAATTGTACTGATGGTGATATTAAATTGCTTAATGGCTCAACAGAGTATGAAGGAAGAGTAGAAATTTGCATTAACAAAGCTTGGGGGACTATTACATACTTTTATGGAACTTCTAATGAAGCTCAGACTGTTTGCAATCAGTTAGGATATACTGCACCAGGTACTGAGAAAGAAAGAATGTAACTTTAATCATGAAACAATTTTTGTTTGCTTACATATGTCATTAGTGCTGTTATGATGTAATTATAGGTGCTAGGAGATTAAATAATGCATACTTTGGTGAGGGTTCAAGTCCTGTTTTAGTGACATATGTCCACTGTTCAACTCCAAGAAACTCATTAATGAATTGCTCTCTTCAACATACCTGGAGGGTAAATTATCGAGGTCGTAATCATGTCATTGGAGTCAGATGTCAAAGTATGCTAGGATGGCATGATTAAACTCACTATTAATATCCTTCTAGCAATGAAAACCTTAAAAATATACAAGATCTATAAGCCCCACAAATTACCTGAGAGTAAAAAGAGGGGATGGGTTGATAACTTTTGCATAGGGCACACCCCCTAAGCTTGCTTGCCCAAACCTAAATAGTGGTCAAAAAGGCATAAGAATAAGCCAACTGCTTGATGTTGGTCTGCCAAGTTTTTAACTCCCAGCAAAGCTGACAAAGCCCAATGCAATTTCCTTTAACAATTAAAGCTTAAGGTCACCAAATACAATTTAACAAAAATGAGCACCAGCAAAAACATCAACAAAGAGCCCACAATCAGGATGAACCATAATTATCTGCTGCAAGAGGCCCATTTTTATGCCTGAATGAACAATAGTTAAAAGTGAGAGGGAAATGTGCAGCAGCAACCAGCAGCCAGAGAAAGAAACTGCAACATTAGCAATGGTGGCGATGAAGTCACCACCAACCAACCTACCCTACTAAAGGATATTAACTACATGTACATTTTACCGTTAAGCTTAAACTTCAAATAATTTTTAATGTTCTCTTAGCTTACTGCCAACATGGTAGCATCAGACTTACTGGATTTGATCCATTGCAAGGATGTGTTGAAGTGTGTGTTAATGGCACATGGGGCAGTGTATGCAATGATTATTGGCATAACAGTGATGCCAGGGTTGTCTGCAGGCAACTAGGATTTCCTTCAGAAGGTATGAAAATAATAATGCTATGAAATGTATGCTTAACTCAATAATGATAGAGAAATAATTTTTGTATTTTAATAGTAACTTTAATCATAACATTACCTGATGCAGGCATATTTATTGTAACTATTTATTACATAAAATGATTTATTATTGTGATTTTTGCTGTTTTTAGGAGCCATTGCACGTGTCACTAATTATTATGGTACTAGTCTCTCATTCCATATTATTGACCTTAATTGTAATGGAAGCGAAGAAACAGTATTGGACTGTTCTTATAACAATGTTGAGCAACACTCCTGTCAGCGGTATGAAGATGCTTCTGTACAATGTCAAAGTATAAAATTATTAATACATTGAATTTATTATAATTACTTTACCAGTACCTAATACAACTGATAATTGTACCAATGGAGTCATTAGATTAATAAGAGGAGAGGCAAAGAATGAAGGCCTAGTTGAGATATGTGCTGATGGCTCCTGGGGATATGTTTGTCCTAGATATGGTTGGGGACAAAGTGAAGCTATGGTCACTTGTAGACAATTAGGATACACTGCAATTGGTCAGTATCACTTTAAAATTTTGTATTAAATTGTAATTTTACTTGTAATCTTAGCTATGCATCTGAGTTGTAAACAGTTATGACTACTAGGGCTAGCTTAAAGTGTAACTTAACTTGCATACGTATAAGAACACTAGTATTAGTAATAGATAATTTGATTCTTAAAAGTTTTTTGTGACACAAAACTTTTGATAATCAAATTTTTAAAGGTGCAAGGACTTCATCTTCGTTTGGAAAAGGAGCTGGCCCAGTTCATTTCTCTAGTTTTTATTGTTCAGGAAATGAGAATAATCTATTGGATTGTAGTCATTATACATCACCCTGTTCTTACTCTTATCATGCTGGTGTTATTTGTCAAGGTATCAATTGTAATTTGATGATATTATTATGTATTGATCCATAGCTCCTTGTAACGAGGGAGATGTTCAATTGCAAGGTGATAGGAGATATAATTCATTTGGACGTGTTGAAGTATGTAATGGAGATACATGGGGAACAATTTGTGATGATTACTGGGATAATAGTGATGCCAGTGTAATATGTAAACAATTAGGATTCTCACCTTATGGTAAGCTGATGAGTACTAATTACTAACATAAAACTTCTGAATAATAACCTTTATAATAATTCTTGCTACAGCTAAAGTCACGGTTTCCCACAGGATTTTAGCATAGTGCTCATGCATATTCTTGTCAGTGGGCTGCTACAAAATTTAACAAAATACTTGCAGGGTATTTTTTTGAAAATTGCTAGAAGATAATTTTTCGCTTTATAATTAAAAAAAATTAATGCATTTGCATATTCACCTAGGAGAAAATTTTATAATTTTGTTTGTTGCATATGTATGTTCTTATTTTGCATAGCAAGCTTGAACTAATTTTGATCAAAGTTAAATTTTTATAAATTTTCAAAGTAGTTAAAGCCAAGTGCATGTCTATTGTTGTTCTTTTTGTCAGCTGATGAAGCAGTGTTACAATGTGTATTTTACTTTGTACACAAATTAGTTTAAACCTGCAGGGCCTTAGCATGCTTTGTAGGAAAACCCTGCTTTTACTTATTCATTAGTTGGAAAATGATAATTTTATTTGATTAGCTTTAACTTTTGTAATGTGTTTTTGATTAAAATTTTAGGTGCTATAGCAAAAACTTCATTTTACTCTGAAAATCATCTTCCTCATATTATATTCAATATGAGCTGCAATGGAGATGAAGAATCTATTTTTAATTGTTCATACAGTGCTGAGGTTCCAACTGGCTCTAACTGTCACTCAACTGAAGATGCTTCAGTCATTTGTCAAGGTTAATCACTGATCATTTTTGTGATTGTCTCAATGACATTGTAAATTATGATAATTTATACTGTAAAATCATTGCAATAATTGTGCTGTATTGACTACAAAAAATAGTTGTATTATTTTAGATATTCAAGTTGCTCATTCTAATTGTGTTGATTATGATGTCATATTGGTTGGAGGTGAAACTGGTAATGAAGGAAAAGTGCTAATGTGTCTTAATGGAGCATGGGGAACACTGTGTGACAATGGGTTCAATGCCAATGATGCTGCATTTGGAGTAGTTTGTAATAATGCAGGATATTCTAAAAGTAAATAATTATGGTAGATTATTTATGCTTCTATTATACTTGTAGGAGGATCAAGATATTCTGCTAACTTTCCTAATTCATCTAATGAAATATTACTAGTTGCTGATATGTATTGCTCTTCAACTGATGAAAGGATTGAAGATTGCTCAGTTACTCACTACACACCACCCTCAACCTGTGATGTGCTTGATATTGTAGCTGTCAGGTGTCACAGTGAGTTAAAATTGTGTGATTGAAATATTTTGATTTATTAACTGAATTTTTTTCACTTTCATTACTACTGTGTATGTGCCTTTTGTCTCAATTTAATCCTGTAGTTCTCTAGTACAGTATTTTGTATTTTGGCCTATGCATACTAAGCAGCAATCCTTAATCACAATATTTTTCTAGCTTGTACGGATGGTGATATTAGGATCATTCCGTATGGAAGTATTACTAGCTCTGTTGGTCGTGTTGAAGTATGCTCTGATGATTCTTGGGGTACCATATGTAATGATTTTTTTGATCATGATGATGCACAAGTTATCTGTAGACAACTTGGATACAGTGCATTAGGTATGTGTGATGCAGTCATAGAAATAAAATTAAGAGTTGTAAATCTGTTCAATATTCATAAGTTATACCAATGTTGCATAGTGTATCCCACTACATTATTGCCTAAAGTGTAATAGACTGTGCTTACATACAAACTACAAATAGTTCAGTTACACTGTTACATCTAGTCATAGATACTACCAAGAGTACATGATCCAATGATTCGAATTAAGTGATTTCTGGGATAGAGATCAGTGAACAGTCATTACAAACAATCCACCATTCATTACATACCCATATTACCTGTAGGCTTATATTAATTTCTTATCAGAATGGAGGGAACCAAACCTACAGTATGAATGAGAGACTGAGAACTCTTCAAAATGGATAGCCAAAAATTTTCTATATAAACTACACAGCCAAGAATTTTAATTTGAACCATGACTGATATCAATCATGATCAGCCTGATACATTCCTGTATCATGGATTTTGGACAGCCTGCAATACAATCATGATAATCATCTATGATACAACCATGCTGGAATACAGCCCTGGTTCAGCCAGAGCAACAGACATGATTCAACATTGATGCCAGTCAGGGCTGTATCAAAATAGACATCAGGCTTGAATCATTGATTTTGGGTAGTGGCCTGTATCAGAGATGATAATTCTTGGCTGTGTACTGTCAGAATAGGAAATTTTGCTAATCTTGAATTTAATTTTAACTTAATTTAATTTAATTTTAATAACAATTTTACAAGATGAGCAGAATGATGAGTACAGAAGGAGAGAGAAAGGAATAGACAGGGAATAAAGACATCTTGATGGGATAACCACAAGAGCTGCAGATACCCAGAGATAAAAGATATTATGGTAGATTATAATATGTTAAGATGTGTGTGTGGAAGCATGAACAAAAAGGAAAATTAGAAAAACAACTTGATCAGTGAAAAATAATACATAAAAATAAAATAAAATAAAATACAATAAAAGTAATTGATAAATTGATGAATAATTGATTGGTGGATTAAGGTAAGTTAATACTTGAACAGAAGCTCCAAATGATGTGAGTCATGTAGTAATCTCAGGGGGAGAATGTCTGATTCCCAGCAATAACTGGGGACTTCTCCAATTTAGAGTTGTGAGCCCTACTTTTGATTGCAGGAAATTTTTGTTGCTGGAAAATTTTATTTTCTATTCAAGTGGCCTTACAAAATATTTTTGTTAATTTTATTTTTATTATGATTCATAGATATTCCCACTTAATCTTAATTTTATCTGTCTAAATTTTTTTTCAAAATTTGGCTAACAAAACAGACACAAATTAGCACTCAACAAAAATTTCCTGCTGTATTTGGCTGTTAATTATTAATTTTGACCAGAAAGAACAATTATACACATGATAAAATACAATTAAGATCTAATTTCTCTATTCAATTAAATTTTTAGCTTTTTGTAAGTGTCAATTATGCGTATGTATGGTCAGTTGGCTTTATCATTTATATATCATTGTTCTTTATCCTTATCTTCAATATTTATAGGATCCGTTTCAGTTGGACCGTTAAATTATAACTTTGATTATTACCACATTATTGATATCAATTGTACTGGTACTGAATCAAATATACAAGACTGTCCTAGTAATAATCTAACCACTTGCCCCACAAACCGTGATGCTGGAGTGTCCTGCAACAGTGAGTTACTGTATCTTGATGGGCTTGCAATGTACATAACTGTGAAATATAATTACTATCGCTATTAAATCACTGGTAATTTTTGCAATTTTTTAAATGATCAAATTTAACAAATGTTTGAAATAGAATGTGTGTGCATGTACTTCTGGTCAAGAATATAGCCTATTAGATTCAGAATCTAATTTTAAGTTATGGTCACAGCACATCTGTAATTTTATGTCAAGCATTAGTTTTTGTAATGCTAATTATTATCCTATAGTTATCACTAGCTAGTCTCCCTTGTTGGTATTTATGTTTATAGATATTTTTGTAGACATATCACTAACCAACTATACTAACTGCACTGATGGTGAATTAAGATTAGCTGGTGGTACTGAACTGAGTGGACGTGTAGAGATATGTTACAATAGAATATGGTATGGAATCTGTTCTGATAACTATAATAGATACAGCACACCAAGTACCATTTGCAAAGGATTGGGCCACTCAACACAAGGTACATCTTTTGCAAATTGAATTAATTATTAGGTAGCCACCTTAAGCAATTTTTTTAGAAACATTAAGCAGTTAATAAAATGAATTTACTCACTAGAAATTAGAAAGCTGTGTGAAATATTTGTTGCAGCTATTTTGTTCATGATAGTGTTTTCATTCATTTCAATTTATTCTTATTATAGGTGCAGTTGGAAGTATAGTTGAGACTTACCCGCCACTACCTCTCCTTCTTTTTGAGTTTAATTGTTATGGTAACAGGGAGACACTATGGGATTGCTATAAATCTACCATTCAGTGTTCTAATGGACCTTATAAATATGCTGCTGTTACTTGTCAAGGTAAACATTTCAGTAAAAGTAAAATACTAGCACTTACTTTACACTAGCTAAATGTGATGACTGGGAGGTACGTTTATATGGCTCATCTTATGAAAATATTGGAGCTGTTGAAGTTTGTATTGATGGAGAATGGAGTTCAGTCTGTTATGAAGATTTTGATCTCTCTGATGCAGCTGCAGTATGTACTCAATTAGGATACATACCTTATGGTTAGAGATACATGTGTAGTACATAATAATGTTAATGGTTATTATTATGTAGGGGCTATTGTTCTACCAAGATACTCTTATAGTAGATACACATACACTTATTATATTAGTGACTTAAATTGTACTGGTGATGAAAGGACTGTACAAAACTGTTCCTATACTGCACCTAAAAAGGGAAATTGTGTAAATGCTCCTCTCATATGTCAAAGTTAGTATGCAGTTCATCTGCTTATGTTTTTTAGGACCTAGTTATAATTGATTATTCTTATAGGAAATAATGAGAGTGTTGATGCTACATGCACTGATGGAAGTGTTCGCTTAGTTGGGGGAATCAATGAGCTTGAAGGAAATGTTGAAATATGTCATAATAAATTTTGGGGATCAGTATGTCATAGTGGTTGGAATACTATTGATGCTAATATTGCTTGTAAGCAGCTAGGATATCAACCGTTAGGTAAGAAAATGAGTACTAACATCACAGCATATCATCTTACTTTTTAATTGTACATTTACTCTGAGTGTGGTTGATATACATGTACATGCATATCAAAATAGTATCTTGTACAAAATAATTATTATTATTTTTACTATATATTTGAGATTTCACAGGCATTTTTCTGTTCATTGGCCTTGTTATTTAAATTTGTAATAGCATGTACCAACTAATAATGTGCTATACATGTAAGGTTTGACCATGCATGCTCAAACTTTTTTATAATGAATAGGAAATTAATTTATTTTAGTGAAAATTATGAAGTAATAAAATATAGAGACATCTAATATTCATTTCATTACTTTTTCAACACAGGAGCCAGAGTATTTTCTAAAAGTTATTTTGGGCATAGATCTTCAGGGACTCACATTATGAGCAGTGTCTCTTGCTCTAATAGTGCAGCTTCACTACTTGATTGTAGCTATAATTCATTATCAGCATTTACTTTATGCGTAGATTTAAACAGAGCTGGCGTGATTTGTTTAGGTAAATATTTCATTTTAGTCACAGTTAGATATATGTACATGTATAACACATAGATGCTTGTGATGATGGAAACTTGAGATTGAGTGGCTCTAATGCTGAATATGCTGGCCGCGTTGAAATATGCATAGAATCAATTTGGACATCACTTTGTGATCAAAACTGGGATTTAAGGGATGCACAAGTAGCTTGTAGGGAGTTAGGATACTCTCCTTATGGTGCAATGCCAACATATGGTTGCTATACTGAGGGACAACTATCATTTGGTATTACTAGTATCAACTGCACTGGCTCTGAGAATGCTTTGTTGAACTGCTCTCACAGTAACCCAGTATTATATAACTGTCGATCTCATAGTGATGCTGGCTTATATGTCAAAGTAAAATATTGAAATAGTTCTGCACTAATTTTTCATTGCACTGCTGTATAAATTACCAAGTTGTTTTATCCTAGATAATATTAAAAGATCAAACTGCTCAAATGGTTCAGTACGGCTAGTTGATGGTAGTGGACCTCATGA